AAAGGGGCCGCGAAGGGGGCCGCGAAGGGCCGCGAAGGGCCGTGAGAGGGCCGCGAAGGGCCGCGAAGGGCCGCGAAGGGGCCGCGAAGGGGGCCGCAAAGGACCGCGAAGGGGCCGCGAAGGGCCTTGAGCGGGGCCGCGAAGGGCCGCGACGGGGGTCGCGAAGGGATGAGAGAGGGGCCGCGAAGGGGCCGCCTAGGGGCCGCGAAGGGGCCGCTAAAGGGGGGGGAAGGCCACTAAGGGGCCGCGAATTTTAGGTCAGGGCGCAAAGCGCGCTTCGGGCAGGTGAAAAAAAAAAGTTCTATGGTGGGCCCTAGGAAGAAACGGTCCCACTAGGGAACCCGCTCTATACCATGTGAGAATTGAGAGGAATGGTTGGACTAGGAAGATTGAGAGTACAAGTAGGAAACCGTAGAATATTGTACTCTCTAAGGTTAACCCCACTGTAGCCTACAGAACAGTGACATATATAATGTCTGACACGCACCTAAACATGGTTCAACCAGCCGAGAGCAATGGTTGAGCCAATCTCAGCCTCCATGAACAAGCTCCAGCCCGACTACACCCCCAGCCGCTCCTCTACAAGGAATGTCCTCATAGAGGACAGCACTTGACAGCTCTCACGCTGCCATCGTGCTGCCAGGAGCGTTCTAGAAGCATCTTTGCGCTGCTGGCAGCAAAACGACACTGGCCGCATCATTAGACACCGGGCGATGACGGTAGAATGAATTTCTTACAAGTCAAGGGGTCTTATTAAAAATTTCTCTCTGTCATTCATTCTCGTTCTCACTGTTACCCATAGAGGAATTCTTACTTCTGCTTTCAGTAAGTCTAACCTCTACAAATATCCGACAGCTGCACTCAGCCCAACAAGTATCACGCTTCAATCAAACTACCGTATTACCCCGGATATAAGCGCACCTGCGCTTATAATAAAACGTGTTTTTTTAGGGGGGTGCGCTTATAATTGAGTAAAAATTATAAGCGCATGCGCTTATAAAATGACCAATAGACATATATATTCAAAAGGCACGAAACTGTACATCTCCTGCTTGCAACTTCAATCGAATCGAAATTTTGAGCGTCACAGAACGGAATTGTGCGCGGTCGATACTTTGCTGGTGCCAGGCCCTCAGATTGGTTTCAGGGTATGCTGATGGATCAGCGTGCCCTGCCCAAATTAGTGACCAAATCAGCGTTGGGGGTCAAGTTTATGCTGATTTTGTCAGGGTAAAATTTCATTGTTTAATGATTCATAAGTTGAATTGCACTCCCTGGGCAGGGCTAGTAGCGTAGCTGTCTTAGGTTTCGGCCTGTAACCGGAAAGGTCACGGGTTCGAAGCCGGTACGTGACAGGTCCACTTGTACGCGGCAATGATTCTGGGCTTAAGGGCGCGTCCCCTCCCTCGATCGATCGCGAAATCGACGTGAAATACCGATCGGGCACACCGATCGCAGGATTGGGGCAGGATTGGTAGGAGGTGACAGGCGCGGATCGATCTCGAGCCCAAGGTGACAGGATCGAGAATTCAAGGGGGGAAAACCCTCGATCCTACCAAAGCCGAGATCGATGTGGCCACGACGGCACATGGATCGTCATCCGCGTAGATGACAAGATCGTTTAGACCCAGTTACTGTACATTCACGAGCTTTCTCGAGTTCTGGTTACTCTGTAAATAGCGACACTGTACTTGTCCCTCGATCGATCGAGGGCAGGATCGATCGAGGGAGGGGACGCGCCCTAAAGCCCCATGTACGCGCACCCCATCCCTGTACCCGATACATTTTGCTATGCCCGAATCAGTGTGACTCGGTACACTGTACTGAAGCTTCAGTGTTACTGGTACACCTTCTCACAAATTCGTCAGGGTAGTCCTACACTTCAAACTGAAAAATCAGTGCAAACATAAAGAATATACTGAAATTTCAGGGAAAACGAAAATCACAGCTACAAAATCAGCCTAATCAGCGTGTTTTACGCTGATATCTGAGGGCCTGGCTGGTGCACAGGGGCAAAACTACACGTCAGACTGCTGGAATGTCAGCTCATACTGACTCGACGCGCAAAAAGTGAGGTCGCCAAAGTCAATCGACGCGAAAATGGTTGTGACCTCGCTGTAAAATTGGATTTCGTTACCGTTTTAATCAATATTTGAAATCGAAATTAGACATGCGCTTATAATAAGTCAGGGTTTTACAAGGGGTGCGCTTATAATTGAGGATCGGGCATAAGCGCAGTGCTCCAAATATAAGCGCATACGCTTATCATAGGCCTGCGCTTATATCCGGGGCCATACGGTATTTCTAGTTAACCACCAAACCAATATGAACTGACACAGTTGCGTTGCGTGTGTGTTCTGTTTGACAGCACTTTGAAAGCTGGCACACTGGCCTCTCGATATAAGGGTGAATCACCCTTATGGCCCTTACTATAAGGGTGGGTTTGGGTGTTCACCCTTATTTTACAGAGCTGTATTTTTGGGCGCCCTTACAAGAAAAAGTGATTCTTTGTGTAACACTGATATATCAGACAAATCTGGTGTACTCGCACTGATGACAAAGAGTAGCGTCGGGTACCACCCTGATGCGATTTGGAGAGGTTGGGGGGGGAGGGGGGGAGGGGGAGGAGGATTTTTGCCGTGATTAGCGGCGTTTTGCCTGAATCACCTGAGTTGCGCATCGCCTAGACGGAACGCGTCGCCACAGCCACATTTATACCAACTGCACCTGGATCACCTGCATCATGCATGCCTAGCGGTGACGCGCAGCGCCACACATGTATGCATCGTGCGGGATAGTCATGCTTGGTCCCCTCATCCCTCCCCACCAGACCCCCAACCACCGACCAGCTAGTCTCACCCAACCTCAACCCCAGTCATTTGATTTCAGTTTTCTTTCTCGTGGTCTCGTCTAATGTTTGCACACCACTCCTTCCTACTGCTAGCGTAGGCGTCGCTCGAGCATCTACCTTCCAGTACCTCGTCATGGCTGTTGACACCAATGGTGATCAATGAGGCGCTTTGTCAGGTCTAGCAATACTCACCTCCGCGAACTGGCCTAAGCTTTTAGAAGGGCCTACTAAGCGGCTGCTTGAACTAGAGCACGTCGTCGCCTCTACTGAGCCTGAGACCTTACTGGATGAAGTGGGGCGTGACCTGCGCTCACCTCCAGTCGACACCAGAACGCCTGAACCTGCGCCATGAGAAGCGACAGCACCTATAACGGAGAATTTCGCTGCTGCTGAAGACACTGCCGCCAAGAAACTTATATCCGATTCCGATTCGGCACGGGGCAGAAGACTGAGCGATCTGATGATTGCTGCACTTCTGCCCACTGAGTGTGTGAACTGGGTGAATATGGTTGCGATGTTTAATGCAAGTAAGAAGCGCCGCCCTTCTCAAGTGTTCCTTTATTAAATTCTGCACTCAGTGTTCACTCCTAAGGTTATTCTCTTAGAACAACTAGTTGCTTTGTTAGGTAGTGCCTTATTTTATATCTAATTCAAGCTTAAATCTCAACAAGCAAGGGTGAAAACTATGTGCGCACTGATGAGCAAGAGTACGTTTCCAGCGGATACGGATAAAAAAGATTGACATGGCTGACCCACCCTTACAGAAAGACCAACTTCAACGAACTGGCCTTACGTGTAAGAGTGTCCCTAATCCTATCCAGAGGCCTGCTGGCACACATGTGCTGTGCCAACAAGAACAAGCACTCTATTGCTCGAAATAACTGAGGCTGGGTTGCGGGGAGTTGGGTGGTGGAATGAGGGCGGTGGGGGGGTAGTCCACGCGCATGAGGGAGAGCCCCTGGGGCTTGGCGGTGGGCGCCACGCGTGCCAGCTGGCGGCGGTCCCCCGAGAGCAGGAGGTCCGTGACTATAGGGGGGGGCAGCGTGCCAGCTCCTATTTGCAGCAGTAGGCCCACCTGGACGTAGGGAGTAGGGAGTGACGCGGAGAGAGGAGAAGGGAGGACAGTGGGAGAAGGATGAAGAGGAGGGCAAGCGCGAAGCAAAGAGTGCAGATACCCATAGCATGTGGGCTAGGCTGGCAAGAGGGGGCGGTGAGAACATGGAGACGGCATGAGTGGTTGCAGATATGGAGCGCTGTGACAGGAGAGGCAGGGAGGATGGCGCCAAGGCTGGGAGCAGTGCCTCACCATACTGCATCTCACCATACTGCATCTCACCACACTGCATCTCACCACACTGCATCTCACCATACTGCATCTCACCATACTGCATCTCACCATACTGCATCTCACCATACTGCATCTCACCATACTGCATCTCTATGATGGATTATACGCGTTTAGCGTATATATGCGTATCGTATATACGCTAGCGTGTATACGCCATACGCTTGAGGGTCGGATCAGGCATACGCTTTTTCGGGCAGGGAAAAAAACTTTCCGGGCAGGGTGGAAAAAATTACCCCTATCGGTGGAAAAAACATCTCACTAAGACGTGCCCTAGCATTTTCCTGAGTCCGATCGGCGGGTGGGGTGGGGCGGGGAATAGACATCATAGCTGTAGGGAGTAATGTTGGAGAGGCTGTTCAAGTTGGAGTGCGCGGGAACACTGCTGCAAGCGGGAATGCGAGGTAGGAAATGACGGGTTAGGAGTTGGGTTGGCTGGTAAGTAGCGTGAGATTTGTTGGGGGTTCGATTTTGATAGGTTGGAGTTCGTAGAGAAGATGGTTTTCAATGCGGTAGAGGGGATGGGTTCAAATGCCTAGATCGGACCTGAAATTCGACATTTGAATAGCTAGATGTGCCTGAAAACTTCGAAGTCAGATCCCAGCTTGCGTAGACCGCGGATTTGCATTTCGACTTCGGCGAAATGCTCACCAAGAAAATCCGCATCTTTTCTGCGATTTTACTTTTCCGGGCTGCCCGGAAAAATTTCTGGCTGCGTATTGCGTATTTGCTAGCGTTTAGCGTATTGCGTGTACACGCTAGCGTAGATACGCTAAACGCAAGGGTTCTAGATCGTATAATCCATCATAGCTGCATCTCACCACACTGCATCTCACCACACTGCATCTCACCATAATGCATCTCACCATAATGCATCTCACCACACTGCATCTCACCACACTGCATTCCACCACACTGCATCTCACCATACTGCATCTCACCATACTGCATCTCACCAGAATGCATCTCACCACACTGCATCTCACCATACTGCATCTCACCATAATGCATCTCACCACACTGCATCTCACCACACTGCATTCCACCACACTGCATCTCACCACACTGCATCTCACCATGCTGCATCTCACCACACTGCATCTCACCATAGTGCATTTCACCACACTGCATCTCACCACACTGCATTCCACCACACTGCATCTCACCACAATGCATCTCACCACACTGCATCTCACCACACTGCATCTCACCACACTGCATCTCACCACACTGCATTCCACCACACTGCATCTCACCACAATGCATCTCACCATGCTGCATCTCACCACACTGCATCTCACCACACTGCATCTCACCACACTGCATCTCACCATGCTGCATCTCACCATGTTGCATCTCACCACACTGCATCTCACCATGTTGCGGACCTGCCGGTAGAGAAACCCGGATCCCTCCACCTCAAAGCGGAACACTGGTGACGGTGCTCCCTGCACTCACGGGGAGACAACGCACGGTGGATGATGCAAAGAGGAGATGAGACAATGCACGGTGCATGGCACAGCTCACAAACCATCCAAGGCAGCACCACCATTGCACCATACTCCCTCACCCATCCACCCCCCCAAATTCCTGCCAAAACCAGTTCATGTTCTCAGCCAGCAACGGTCTCTCACCCCTCCAATCCCCCCTTCACTGCGAGTGGGTCGCACCTCGTCCACCGTGCCCTGCCAGCAGTCCGCCTCCTCCACCAGCTCGAACCGAGTGATCTCCCTCACCGCGCCCCTCTCCTTCGCCTCACACGTGTTCGCGAACGCCGCAAAGTCCCTCCGCCCCTCAAACAGCCGAGCTGCCTGCGCCATGAGGGGGCGGTCCAGCGGGCCGCGCGGGTAGGAGAGCAGCGTGGAGCGGCGGTGCGGCAGCAGGAGCGGCGTGGGGCTGTTGAGCACGGTGTAGTGGTAGCGCTTGCTGCACGCGTGCAGGCGCGCGTGGAAGGAGAGCGGCACGGCACGCAGCGAGCGCACGCGGATGGCGGGCGGCAGCAGCGCGTTGAGGGCGCGGTGCATGCGGGGCAGGTCGCATATGGGGGAGGCGGTGGTGAAGTGGGCCACCTGATGGGACGGAGGGAGGGGAAAGGTTGGGCAGAGGACGCGAGTGAATCTCTGTGTTGCATCTGCTGCTCCAACTACTGCCATTGCTCTCACGCCTGCCCCCAGCCATGCATACCTGCTCCCAGGCATGCATACCTGCCCCCATGCATGCATACCTGCCCCCATGCATGCATACCCCCAGGCATGCATACCTGCCCCCATGCATGCAACCTGCCCCCATGCATGCATACCTGCCCCCATGCATGCATACCTGCCCCCATGCATGCATACCTGCCCCCATGCTTGCAATCAACCTGCCCCCATGCATGCATACCTGCCCCCATGCATGCATACCTGCCCCCATGCATGCAACCTGCCCCCATGCATGCATACCTGCCCCCAGACATGCATACCTGCCCCCATGCATGCATACCTGCCCCCATGCATGCATACCTGCCCCCATGCATGCATACCTGCCCCCAGAGATGCATACCTGCCCCCATGCATGCATACCTGCCCCCATGCATGCATACCTGCCCCCATGCATGCATACCTGCCCCCAGAGATGCATACCTGCCCCCATGCATGCATACCTGCCCCCATGCATGCATACCTGCCCCCAGGCATGCACGCCAGCGTCGGTGCGCGAGGCACCGGTGACGCCCAGAGCGGCGCTGCCCTCCCGCGTGTACGTCGCCAGCGCCGCCTCCACCGCCCCCTGCACCGTTGGGCGCTGCGCCTGCCGCTGCCAGCCTGCCCTGACCAGGCGCAGCAGACGGGTGAGAGGCGCAGCAGAGGGGTGAGAGGCGCGGAGCAGCGGGGGGCGGAGCAGCGGGGGGGGGAGCAACGGGGGGGGGGGGAGCAGAGGGGCGAGGAGCAGAGGGGGGAGGAACGGAGTTGGGAGGAACAGAGTTGGAAGGAACAGAGTTGAGAGGAATAAAGGTCAAAGGAAGGCTCACGCAGCATGCATGCACCATGCATCATGCACAATGCACCATGCACAATGCACCATGCACCATGCAAAATGCATCACGCACCATACACAATGTACTATGCACCATGCGCACCACACCATATACCTTGCACCCTGCACCACGCACCACGCACCACGCACCATGCACCATGCACCATGCACCACGCACCATGCACCATGCACCATGCACCATGCACCATGCACCACGCACCATGCACCACGCACCATGCACCACACAGCATCATGTGTGGGATCGCTAGGCATCAATTCGCTGTGCTCCGTCACAGGGGCGCCAGAAGGCATGCGGGCGGGGCGCATGTGGCGGGGGGTATGTGGCATGCCGTATGTATGCTTGTCTCACCATAGAAGTGTGTGCCGTCGTACGCCAGCACCATCATGTACCGCCGCCTCCCCTCCCATGACTCATCGCCGCCGCCACTGCTGCCGCCCTTGCCCTCTCCACCTCCTTCCGCTTCCCCCACGCTTCCTCCTGCCTCTGTGCCCTCCATTTCACTCCCACTTTCACTTTCTCCGCCTCCCCTATCCTCATCCCCCTCATTTTCCTTCTCATCGCCTCCCTCGCCCCACTCTGCGCTCGCTAGGATCCTTCCCCCGCCAATCGTCTTCCCCTTCCTCCCCCCCGTCCATTGAGCCCCTCGCCCATTGACTAGCCAGCAGCCGCGTGCAGCTGACGTCATCACCCGACCGCACCCGCGCTGCCGCCTCTCCGCCCATCCCTGCGCCCTCGCCATTTCCGCGACCCTTCCAGACCGCCTCAGCTGACCCATCCGCATCCCCGCTTCCCCGCAGCGCATCGCGCCGCCATCAAACCGCTCCGCGAGCTCAGCAGTGGCTTCGGCTGCGCGACGTGGCAGGTAGCCATTGGCAGCGAGGCATAGTGTGCGAGCGTGGTGACAGCAAGGAGGAGGCGCGGACGTGAAGGGGAGGATGGGGCAAGAGGCAATGCGGGGCATGTGGGAGACGCGTGGGTTGAGGCAATCCAAGGGCAATAACGTACTACTTAATCCTTAGCTCCCTAATAGCCTCTCCATGCTTTGCGCGACCTACGTTAAAACCGGAGGTCCAAGAGTTTCTAACTTAGGAAGGTTGCTTGGGGTAAGAAGTGTGACTGGCTCGCGAGCCAGGGTGGTGTCGAAGGTGGTCGTTGGTCGCAAAGTAGGAAACGCTCGCGAGTGTAACCAGATCAGAAAAGCAACGTCAGAACTAGTTCGCAATCGGATTCGGAAGGGCTTCAAAATGTGTCTGCGAAAGTGTCGCCAAAATCGTCCTCACATGTACAGTAATTTCGCTTGACGAAATTGTCCCAACGTTTTGGGAGGAGTGCTCGGTATTCACTGGGTCACACTCAAGCGAAGTTAGGAAGCGAGAGTCGAGGTCAAAGGATGCAAGGAGTAGGTAACGACTGGTTTGGGTTGGGTAACTACTGTGGCTAACCACCACATAAGTAAAAACACATTTTAGAAACATTTCGAATGTAAGGAAATTTCATTTTCCTTATCCGTGTTGATTGCCGCATGTACAACCCCGCACTTTCAGACTTCGCATGTTCCGCCAACATCCACGATTTTGGGGCTACTCCGCGTCGCCTTCGGTTATCCCTTTGTCAAACCTACTTCCAACCTTGCATTCCCGAGATTCCCACCAGGCTAGTGTAGTCAATTGTCAGAATGAAGAATGGATGATGCATTGATGTTGGTTGGGGTACATATAGCTAACCCTAAGTTTTGTACCCCCTAAGACAAACCTCACTATAGGCTACAACATTTGACACACCCCCATAGCCTAAGTGAGGGGTGTCTAGCAGAACCAAACGAGTACGGTCACAAGACCAGTCCAAGAAACAAAGCTCAGGGTGGATCACAACGTCACCACACAGTCTGAGCACAAACAACAGTGGCCACAAGGCCAGTCCAAGAAGTAACAGAGATATATAGAAAGCAAAGTAAACAGTACACTCAAGTCTAAGCAACACGAGAACCAGTGTCAACAAGGCCTAACTGCACACAGCACCTCTGGTGGTCACAAGGCGGAAGCGCCTTGGTGAAGATGTCTGCAGTGTTGGCCTCTGACTCCACAAACTCAAAGCGAGCCTGTCCACGCCTCTGCAACTCTCGCAGAAGAAAGTACCTGACGTGAATGTGCTTCACTCTGCTCTCCAGTCGTGGCTCTCGACAAAGGAGAATAGACGCCTTGTTGTCAGTGAACAAGGTCGGTGCAGAGCTCGGCCGCTCACCAAGGTCGGTGAGCAAGAAGGTCAACCAACGCAGCTCCTGTGCCGCCATGGCACCAGCGTAGATCTCAGCCTCAGCTGTAGAGGTCGAGACCGAAGAGGAGCGCGTGGACCGCCAGGAAACAGCTCCAGAACCCAGGCTGAAACAGTACCCTTGAGTAGACCTGTGAGTCTCAGCGTCGTCAGCGTAAGAAGAGTCATAGTGACCAGTAAGTACGACAGACTGCTGTCCTCCAAGAACTAGCCCCACGCCTGATGTCGTCGCTAGGTACTTCGCCACCCTCACAGCTGCTGTCCAGTGAACAGGACAGTGTCTCCCTGGCGCAACAAAGCGCGCAAGAACGCTGAGAGGGAAGGCGAGGTCCGGGCGAGTACAAGTCATCAGGTACATGAGGCAACCCACAAGCTCTGCGTAGGGACCACTAGGCTCGAACGGCTCGTCAGGAAAGGGTCCAGTGAGTCTGTGGTCAACAGCAAGAGGTGTGCGCTGTACTGTGGAGTGCTGAAGCCCGAACCGCTGAAGGACCTGCTGCACCATGTGCGACTGTGAAAGTGTAATGGTGCGAGCAGCTCTGTCCCTGGTGATCTGCAGGCCAAGGTAGTGGCGCAGCTCACCAAGATCAGTGCAGGTGTGTCTCTTCTGCAGTTCGGACTTCACGTGTGCCAAAGCAACCCTGTCAGGGGTGGCGAAAACAAGGTCGTCAACGTAGACCAGAACAAAGAAAGGTGTGGGGCCACGACGCACGAACAGCGACGGGTCAGCAGAAGACGGCTGGAACCCAAGGTCAGACAGGGTAGAACGCAGGGTGTCGTGCCACTCACGAGGAGCCTGACGAAGACCGTAAACCGGTCGCCTCAGCCTCCACTGGGTCCCAGGAGGGAAAGAGCCAGTGAAGGCAGAGGGACGACGCAACCAGACCTCCTCGTGAAGACTGCCCTGAAGGAAAGCAGTAGAGAAGTCGAGAGAGTGTAACTCGTAGTCTCTCTGTGCTGCTACGTGTAGTAACACCCGAAGAGTGGTCATCTTCGGGGTGGGCGCGAAGGTCTGAAAGAAGTCAACTCCCTCGCGCTGACTGAAACCTCTAGCCACGTAGCGCGCCTTGAAGACCGGAGGAGATCCCGGTGGCCGCTTCACCCTGTAGATCCACATGCCGTCGACTACGTTCGCCCCCGGAGGGGGAACCTCATCGACGTAGGTGCTTGTGGATCTGTAGGAGGCCATCTCTGCGTCCATGGCAGCTCTCCACTGAGAGGCCCAAGGCCCTGACACTGCCTCAGCGTAAGTGCGAGGAGTCGGAATGTCAAGGGCGTCGGGGTCACCCTCAGGGGCGAGGAGCATGGCACAGAGATGAGGGGAAGCGGCGGCCAGGAACTCTAGCTCAAACTGCCTGTCCTCTAGGGCGTCACTGCCAAGGGCAGACACACCCCCGACGGCCAGAGGACTGGAAGGAGGAGCAGCCACAAGAGCGGTGGCGAAGTCAAGGCGGCGGGTAGAGGCAAACTCAGTGACTGCGGCAGTAAGAGCGGACACAGAGGACACAGAGGCACGAGGGTGGGTAACAAGAGAGGCGAGAACACGAGAGAGAACAGGACGGTACGTGCGGTAGTAGTCAGTGACAGGAGAAGGAAGCGACACAGTGAGGGCCGACTCAGGAGGAGACGGAAGCACAGACAGAGACGGACGAGGTGGACGAGAACAAAGGAAGGCTGTACGAAGGTCAGTGAAGGGAACAGGAGACGAGGGACGAGCACGAGGGGAGCGACGAGAGGCCCAAGTCTGAGAAGGAGGAGGAGACAACGAAGACTGAGGACGAGGGAAAACAGCGTTAGAGGGGTCAGGAGGAGGAAGCGGAGGACCAGAGACGGGAGGAGAGGGGGAGGAGGAAGGAGAGGGAGACGGGAGACCAAGGGTCCGAAGACCCGAGACAGGAGGAGGAGACGGCAGCAGCTGCTGCTGCTGCTGCTGCGGCTGCTGCGGCTGCTGCTGCTCCAGCGGCTGCTGCCTCTGCTGCTGCGGCAGCTGCTCCTGCTGCTGTCGCTCCTGCTCCTCGAGCCGCTGCAACTCTCTCTCCTCTCTCTCCAACTCCAGCTGCTCCTCACGAGCACGGCGAACACGAGCCTGGAACCTGGTCGGGTAGGGGTGGGGGGAAGGAGTAGTGTCCGGGGCAGCGGCAGCCCCAGAGTCGACCTCCGAAGCACCAAGCACACCACCCCCAGAGGCAGCACCAACACCAGCTCCAGACCCAGGCTCTCCAGAAACCGAAGGGACACCCTCACCCCCAGACGCAGCACCCCCAGACTCCGCACCAGCACCCCCAGACTCCGCACGACCAGTACCAGCCCCCGGAAGACAAGAGTCCTCTGCAACCCGCGGCTCAGCTCCAACTCCAGCACCCCCAGAACCAGAGACCTGTACAGGGACAGTCGCAGGACCAACCTCTCGAGAGGGAGCACCTGCAGGAGGCGGCGAGGAAGACTGTGGGGAGGGAGGCTGTACAGGGGGGGCTACCGAAGGGGGAGGGCTAGCCTGAGACACACCAGACGGGGCTGGACCAGGGGGGGGAGGCTGTACCGGGGGAGCAGGCGGGGGAGCGGCGGTCAGGAAGAGAGGGGGGGGAGGGACCGGGAGACCTCGACTGGGGTACCTGACGTAGTAGGGGGTGGACTCCTCGAAACGGACGTCACGGGAGTCAAAGAACCGGTGAGAGGGAGGGTGGTAAAAGGTGAAGTCAGAGGAGTCCTCAGGGAAACCAAGGAAGACACAAGGAACGGCGCGAGGCGAGAGCTTGTCTGCGGAGGTGTCGCGGACAAGAGCCAAGCACCCCCAGACACGAAACCTCGACGCGACACCAGGGGACCCTGTCCAAAGACTGGTCGGTGAAGCCTCCGGCCGAGAGACGCGTGGCCAGAGGTTCAGCTGGTGCGCGGCGTACCTGACCGCGTATGGCCACAGGAAATGGGGGGCACGGGCGTGAGTCAAGGAGGTGCGGGCAATCTCCATGACCAGGCCTATGCGACGCTCAGCAACCCCATTCTGCTGTGGGGACTCCGGAAGCGTCCAGGACTGACGAATGCCCTGTTCGCGACAGAATCCAGCGAGAATGCCGGAGCGAAACTCGCCCCCGCGGTCGGAGTGGAGACAGCTGACACGACGACCACGAGTGTCCTGGGTGGTAAGCAACCACCTGATCAGCGTAGAAGTCACCTCAGACTTCCTCGCCAGGGGGAACACTGTGGTGTAGCGGGAGTAGTCGTCAACGACCACCAAAAAGAAACGCTCACGCTCAGGGCCAGGGCGAGGAGAGGGGCCCCAGACGTCCAAGTGCAGCGTCTCAAAAGGCTCGGTGGCCGGACGAAGGGAGGAGGAGTGAGGGGTGGCGCGCAGCCTACCCTCGACGCAAGGACCGCACGGTGGTGCAAGGGACGGCGGCAGCGACGGCAAGACACGCGGGAGACCTAAGACAAGACGCTGACGAGACATAGCGCGAAGACGAGGAGGAGAAGGGTGCCCCAGCCGGTGGTGCCACAAAACGGTGGGGTGGGCAAGCGACCGACAGGAGCACGACGCAGCGACCGGACTAGACGGAGGAACCTGACAAGACACAGCTACCTGGGGGGACGGAGCAACCTGGTGAGACGCGAGGACTCGAACGGGGGGCAAAACAGGGGCCGGGGGCAGGAGGGGCGGCTGTGGCTGCGGCTGCGGCTGCTGCTGCCGCTGCT